CCCCCCGCCCCCGCCCCGCCTCTGCTGGAAGTTCATTTCTCAGGCTGCTGTCGCATTTGCCAATTTCGTTTTTAACTTAAAGACAAAAGCGGCTCAAATTTGAAGGGCTATTTCTTTCCGGATCCGTCCACAAAGAAACGGAAGTAGTCCTTTGGGGCACGAACTTACTTTTTTTTTTTTTTTTTTCCTACCCCCACCCCGAAAGAACACGAAAACTTGCTCGAAATGCTCCGAGCCGGCTTCGAAATCTGTCGGGCAGCTCGAGCAGATAACGCTAACGTTTTTAAAGCTTAGAAACTCCTTCCCGATAAAAATCCTGCCAGTATTTCTAAGTCGTCCTGAGCAAACTTAAAGCGAAATCGCTACAGGACGAAATACAGGGACTGGGGTAGAGCTTAGCTGTGGGAGAGGGGGCTCGGGAGGGGAAGGAGCTCGGCGGTGTCTGCGCAGAGAACGAGCGGGTGGTAATGTAGGAACGGGTGCTTTCCTCACGGGTTGCTTATCTGCTCGTCCGGCTACGCTGTGGTGCGATTTTATGCTGTACTTAAAAATCCGGGGCAAACAAATGTTTGTTTAAAAAAAATATCGACCGTTTGCTCTAAAGCGCATTAATTATTCAGGCTGGATCTATACTTCCTTCGTGTCAAAGTCAAATGGATAGCGCCTTCACTCTGGGAAGCGAAAGCAAATAGGGATGAAATTTTAGAACAAAATACAAGCGCTTGATTTACCGCAAAAAAAAAGGGAAAGAAAACTATAGAGAAAAAAATAAAGATGAGGACAGTAGGGTAGAAAACGGCGTGCTCTAGTTCTTGTCTAAATTCTGGCGAGCTGCTGTGCGACGCTCTATATATTCCCAAGATTTAGAGGGGAAGCTTAAAGTCATAGAAATATAGCAGACGTTGTCACACGCTAAACTACAGAATATACAAGATTTTTTTTTTCTTAGATGCACTATTTTTATAGAAATTAGAGGGAAGTTTAGAAAACGTCAATGAATGTGCCAAGCTAAAGGTGTCGCGTTTAGACTAGCTTTACATCTCGTATTTCCGTTTCTTTTAAAAATTTTACTTCTGAGGTTCAGAAAGAATCTACTTGCCGAATTTAAGAACCATCCACGAAAAGTCAGCGTAAAGTTAAAGTAATATTTTTATTACTATTTGCAACAAGTCAGTTGTGGGGCACATTATCTGACCTTGGCACCGAAATACATTTAACATCAGTAAAACTTTTTTTAAAGGGAGATTTGTACATATAGTTAAATAATTTTTCACTTGGTGACAACATTCAGGCAAACAAGAGAGAGTAAGAAAAGGACTATACATGGATTGGAAAATGTACCTTTCGGGTTTCGTTTTGAGGTTGCAAAAGTCCGATCGCTTCTCTTTTTTGTGACTTTTTAAAAATTCACATCGGAGGACCGGAGGAGAGGCTCTTCCCTTCTTCCGTGCAGGGCGGTGAGAGTTTATGCCGGGAAAACCCTCTGCAAGTTTTTAAAGGCCGAGCTGCAGGTGGGTGGGGGGTGGCGGGGACGCGTTTCTTTCGCCGCCTCTTTCCGTCGTCGTTTTCGTTAAATAAAAAGTTTTTGGTTGGGTTTTTTTTTTTTTGTGTGTGTGTGTGGTGGTTTGAGTTGTTGGTTTTTTTTTTTTTTTTTAGGCGCTGTTGTTGTTTACGGGAGGGCGAGTTTTGTGCGCGGGGAAGGGGGGGGGTTGTTAACCCTATAGCTTGTCGAGGCTTTTGGGATTGGTGAGGATTTCTCTGGCTAGCCTCCAGGTCTGTTTGGCAGCGCTTTCCAGGGCCGAGTGGGGTTTGCCCTGAAAGAGGTCTAGGTTGGGCAGGAAGTAGTGGGGGCAGCGCCGGCACTGCAGGCAGGAGATGAGCTGCAGGAGGATGCCGTTCAGCCGGTCGCCCAAGCACGCCTCGTCCCAGTCGGTCTCCCGCGGGTGCTTCTCGCACTCGTACAGCAGCAGCGTCTTCATGTGGTAGTTGTTGAGGGGCTGCCCCGGCAGCTCCAGGTGCCGGTCCCGCAGCGTCTTCAGCACCGAGAGGCACTTGTTCCTGCAGCCGCCCATCAGCAGCCGGTTCTCGGCCTCGCCGAACTGCAGCACCCAGGCGTCGCTCTCGGCCGAGCTCTGCTTGCCCGTCAGCGAGTAGCACTCCTTGGAGAGCAGGTTGAAGCCCTCCGCCTTCACCTCCGCCACCCGGTTGGGGCCGGGCCAGGGGATGTGGGGCATGGGCCACTGCGCCGCGCTGCGGGGCCAGATCCCGGTGCACTTGAAGGCGGGCGTGATCTGCACCACGTACCGCTCCCGGATGCGGAGCTTCACCTCGCTGGTGTCCGCGATCATCTTCACCACGTCCCGGTAGCTGCACTTGTCCACGGCCTGGGCCACCAGCGTCTGGAAGCGGGAGCGGATCTTGCGGGCGGACAGGTAGCCCGAGGCGGTGATGAACTCCACCCAGAGGGACATGCTGCGCTTGCGGCCGTCGCTCCGCTTGAGCACGGCGCAGCCCGGCAGGGAGCCGTCGTCCACGAAGTTGAAGACGCCCATCTGGTTGAGGTAGAGCACCACCTCAAACTCGGTGGGCGAGATCACCTCCAGCCCCTCGTAGCGGGCGTCGATCTCGCTCAGGGAGCTGATGAACCGCGGCTCCTGCACCTCCACCTCCTTCAGCACGTCCGACACGACCTTGCACACCTCCCGGATGGTCTTGGCGATGGCCGCCTTGCGCGCCTGGCAGCGCTCCGTGTAGTATTTGTTGAGCTGGTAGACCAGCTTGGCCTGCGCGGCGATCATGTTGGGGCACAGGTCCGGGCTGTACACCGGGCTCTCGCAGTACGTTGAGGGATCCAATGCTTTAGCGGTGGCTGCAGCTTTGCGGAGGGCACCAGCCAAATCGCAGACCCCCACCCCCTCCGGGAAGAAGGCGGCAGCGGCGCGCCAGTGAGAGCAATTAAAAAAATCGGGGAGGACGACGAAGCACAAAGGAGCGAAGCCCAGCGCTGCCCCGGCGAGGAGGAGGAGGAGGAGTACGAGCAGCAGGC